CCAAAAACAAATGCAAACAAAGGTTCTGGGATTGTGGTGACTTTGTAGAGATTCAGATAATTCATTAGAAATGGATTTTTGGCATTACCGTGCACATTTGTTGAAGTTTGATAAATCGTGTGCACTCATTAATGCATATGAAAACGTAACTGGCTTGGGCTGAGGAATAGCAATGCTTAGAATAAAGTGACAGGTATTGCATTTCATATGTATTTACCGAATAGAAATACAAACTGCATGAAATGTACATGAATCACTTTGTAAATCCATTTTCAGAACTGTCAGTTACGTGTGAATACTTGGAACACTCAGAGTGGTAGCCAGCTGTGTGCTCTGCGTACTGGACAGCCCTGTTCTCCATCTCGGGGAACAACACCCTGGATTTCATAGTTATGATTTCCATGCATTAAAAATTATGTATTTAAAGACAGAGCGCCCAAATGTTGTCTACTGTCCACATGCCTGCAGTGGCCAGAGCTGCGATTTGTCACACGGGTGGCAGGGACTCAGGTGGCTGAGCCATCACCTGTTGCCTCGCAGGGTCTCAGGATCCAGCAGTGAAGCCAGGCACTCTGAGATGGGACTGGGGTCTGCAGGAAACGCCTGCCCCTGCTTCCGGTGTTTTAAATCATGTAGACTTGTATAACTATATCCTAGGTTGTTTTTCAAAGTAAAAGCTTGATATGCATGTATATTCTGCACTTGGTTTTGCCTGATTTCCTAGCAGGCCACTGTTCCGTGTAACTCGTCCTTCCTAGACACCAGAGCATTCCAAAGTAGAAGCTCCTTGACTTGACATCAAGCCAGCGTTGAGTGCCTTCCAGTGGCTGACTGTGTGACGTGAGTGGCCACCGTGGCTCTCGCCTGCTCCCCAGATGCCCGCTGAGCCCAGGGTGGTCACATGCCGATCCGCTGGCCCTTTCCTGTGAGATGGCTGTGGGGTCACCTGCTCTCACCTCTGATGCTTGCACCTTGTTCTGGTCGCCAGATGGTGATTGCAGTGCTGCTGTGTTCTGGTCTATTCATCCATTCCACACAGTAGGATTTAACTGACTCTATGACATATGCTTTTTTTTTTTTAAAGATTTATTTTTATTATTTTTTATTGGAAAGGCGGATATACAGAGAGGAGAGACAGAGAGGAAGATCTTCCGTCCGATGATTCACTCCCCAAGTGAGCCGCAACGGGCCGATACTATGCCGATCCGAAGCCAGGAGCCTCTTCCGGGTCTCCCACGCGGGTGCAGGTTCCCAAAGCTTTGGGCTGTCCTCGACTGCTTTCCCAGGCCACAAGCAGGGAGCTGGAAGGGAAGCGGGGCTGCCGGGATTAGAACCGGCGCCCATATGGGATCCCGGGCGTGCAAGGCGAGGACTTAACCACTTGCGCCACCGCGCCGGGCCCGACATATGCTTTTTAAGGGCTATCTCAAGATACCCTGAAGCCAACAGAAAAATCTTAAGTTTTTTGAATTTGTTTTCCTTTTCACATTCAGGCCTTTGACCCACATAGATGAATGAGGATACATGTGTGTGATTTGGCATTCTTCATGAGCTGTGTTCACACACACAGCACACAGGGGAGCCTCGGCCCCACACTCGGCACCTGCTCGCGTCTTCCTGCTGTGACGTTCAGTTCTGAAAATTCACACATTGTCGTCTGTGGGAGAACAAGTCCCCTGTCCCCTGCTCTTGGACTTGGTCCTTTGTAACCTTTTGCTTTCTTGTTGATTTCTTTTAAAAGCCTGTTCTTGCCGTGCGCTGCACAGATACGGTGCCAGAAGTCGGCCACGCTTCCTGCATCCCTCTTCCCCTAATGCCCCCTTTCTCCTTCAGTGTTTGCCAAGACACATTTTTTAAAAACTCTAAATTATTTAAGGTGCATAGATTTCGTGTCTTTCTCAGACTCAGGAGCACGCCGGGCCTTCCCACCCCATGTTCCCTCCTACCCGTGTTTCCCACTCTTCCCCATTTCAGCTTTCTTCAGCCATGGCATACCTCCGTTCCCAGTCACAGAATTAGCACTAGGACAAAGCCTCACTGTCCCTCAAGGTAACGAGAAGGACGGTAGAGCATGAGCGAACCGCAGACGTCCATCTCCTATTGGCCACATTGTTTTCAGTTCAGGACAAGCCTGACTTCTGCCTTTTTAGATTGGCTATTTTGCTAACTGTCAGTGGTCTCCAGCTGTACCCACGCTGCTGCAAAGGGCAGGATTTCCCGTTCCCTCGTGGCTGACCAGCGCTCCGCAGTGAGCATGCATCCACCCAGGGCTGCGCATCTGGCTTCATTCCACGTTCGCTAATGTGCTCGAGTTTCTCGCACTCTGCAGATCTTCTACAGGCCTTGAGCATGAACTCTTCCAGTTGTGTGATGTGCTGGCATTTCCCCCATTCCATCAGTTGACTCTTTGACAGTTTCCTGTGCAGTGTAATCTCATTGGTTTGTTTTTGTTTTCATTGCCTGTGCCTCTGGGGTCTTTCCAGTAAGCCCCTTCCTGTACTGGTGCACATCTTCAGAGTCCCCCCGTTTTCCCCTGGTGCTTTGACGGGCTCAGGTCGCAGCTTTAGATCCTTGGTGCTCGGTGGAAGGTGGGGTCTTGTTCCACCCCTCTGCAAGTGGAGGTTGGATTTCCCAGCACTACTCGAGACTGTCCTTTCTCCAAGGGTTGATTTTTACCTCATTTGTCAAAGATGAGTTTGTTGTAAATGTGCGAATTTCCGGAGTTTCTAGTATGTCCCGTTGATTTGCTGGTCAGCCATTTGCCTTGTGTAATAGCTTAGAACCACCTTTAGAAGAGTTTGCATTTTACTTTTATGAATTTTATTTCTGTATAACTTGCACGCTCGCTCATCTCCTTGCATGTTAACTCCACTGGTCTCACTTCTCACTCTCCCTGTCACCCTTCTGTCCACGCTGCAGTCCCTGGACTCTGTGCCCGCTTTCCAGGCTCCCAGCCCTCACCACCCACATTCCGCATGTGGGGACCATCCGTTTCACTGTCAGGATGTGGCACAGCTGTGCCCACACCTTCTGACTACTGCAATGCAAGGAATACAGCCGTTGAGGATCTGGGCTGCTTACCAGCCATGGCTTGCCCATAGCAGTGGCCACAGAACAGCACAGCCCTTAGATGTGCGTGTACCACGCCTGCTCTCTGGCTTCTCCCTCCTGGCATCCAGGAGCTCCTGCCCTGCCTCAGCCCACCCCCATCCACAGCCCAGACGCAGCCCTGCTAAGGGCTCAACCCGCCCCACCCCTCCCCTAGCAGGTATACTTCCATGGTGGCTGTGGCCAGTTACCATTGATCTGTGAACACTGGGTGTGCTGTGGCTTGGACACCCTCCATGAGGGTCGCAGTGGGGCTGGCAGCATGTGGGGTCTTCACTGCGTGCCTACAGCAGTACCGGGAGGTGGCAAGTCGCTGAGAGGTTGACTGTGTGTTCCGACTGTCTCAGAGGGTCATAAGTTATTTTTGATGGCCTTAATTCTGGATTCCTTATTTCTCATTGAAATTGTCTTTTCCTCAATTTCCAACTGTAGATTTGCTGAAACTCGGCATCATTTCTACTTTGGCCCAAGCTACACCCCAACTTGCAGAGTTTAACCCATCCAGCGCTGGAGAGAGAAGGGAGCCTTATGTGGCGGTGATGGTGCTGCATCGTGAGGACGTGTGTCCTGGCCCCTGTCCTCGGTCTGTCCGTGGAAGGTGTCACCACAGACCTGCTGCCCCGGCCTCCCACATGCAGGTATGTCCCATTGGAGCAGTTACTCCGAAGAAGGGCAAGTCCCGTGAGGACCATGCTGAGCCCCGGGGCAGGAGGCCCCACCAGCGGAAGGTTGGGGGCCACAATGCACCCCGTTGGCGTGAGAACCTGCTGTCAGACTTTGTCCAGGACAGCACACTGAGCCCGGGGTGGCCACAGCCAGGGACGTGGCAGCTGGCAGCTCTGGGTGGCCCCTCCTGGCAACTTCTGCTTGGAAGAAAAAAGCCTCCAGGTAAGTGAACTCGATAGCGTGAGATCCTTCCCTTCCTGGGTTGGTGGCAGTCCTGTTCCTGGCAGACCCTCAGCCTGCTCCTCTGCACGTGGCTTCCATGTAGGAAGACACATCACTGCAGCACACTCCTCCACGGGTGCATCGATCAAGTCCCAGTAGGAACCAGCACGTTCAGATGCTGCCCACCCGAAGCAGCACCAGGTCAGGCAACAGCGACAACCGTGCTCAGCACCTCTCCAGGGACGCTGCGCAGGGAGGAGCCGGCCCAGGGTGCGGCCAGGGCAGGGAGGAGCCCTCCAGGAGTGTGGGCAGGGAGGAGCCCACCGGGGGTGTGGCCAGGGCAGGGCTCACATCCCGTGTGGGAGTGACCAGACAGGAACGTGGACCACAAGGCAGGCAACCGGCTCTGCCTCTTGCCTGCTTTGTAATGGGGTCTGAGCCAGCACGAGGCCACAAGAGGACCTGTGACTGGGGCCCAGGCCCCCTGCTTGGGAGGAGGGCAGAGCAGCAGTCCGGGCACTCTGGCTGAGGACACCTGCTGCCAGCAGAGCTGGGGGCCCCTGTGGGGACAGCAGACACCACCACAGTAAGACTCACTCATGTTCTAAGGTAAGAGAAATATTTAATTTTGCACACGAACGAGCTTATACTGAACAGATTCAACCAAAGAAGAGTAAGTGCAGTGAAACAAGGAAACAGGGATGACTTCCTGTCACAGCGGGAAGTAACCATGCCAGTGCATTACTGTGGTCAGGACAAGAACTTGCGGGGTCTCTGCCCAGAGGCTACTGTACATGACGACGCGTGGCGGCCTCCTGCAGTGGAGAGGCCTCAGGTCCCCATGTCCCCCTCTGTTCCGCCTGCAGATGGGGCCTCAGCCCTCCCCGGGCCCAGGGCACCGCGGGGCACTCCACGGCCCACCTGCACGGCCATGCCAGGGCGGAGGAGACACAGCTGGAGGGTGTGTTGGCCGAGGCTGCGCCTTCTGGGAGTTCTCTCCAGCTGTGCTTAGTTACCAACCAAGCTGCATGTGGCTGCCCGCACGCCACCCAGTTTCAGTTTGAACTTGTTTTGGTCTTTTAAATGAAACTACATTCTCTAAACTGAGAGCTCTTGAGATGGCTGGCTTCACAGCTCCTGAAGGCACTGTGGATCCACAGAGCAGCAGATGTGTCCGTTCTGGAAGACAAAGGGGAGAAAAGCAGCAGGTGACACATCCAGGCCATCAGCATGTGCACAGACAGTGACCTGACTGCTGTGGCTGCCGCAGCACCTGTCCCTGTAACTGGAGCTGAGCGGCTCCATTCCCTGTGGCATCTCGTGAGTCACTGTCTTGTTAACTCCTTCATGAGTAAGTTCTATGCTCAGGATAGGAGAGGGCAGAGTTTACGTTGATCTGGTGGCAGTGGGGAACCAGGCAGGACTAAGCAGTGACAGAACTGAGACATGCTGGAAGTGGGGACCAGTGTGGTGGTGGCAGGTGGCCAAGAACATGAGGGTAGATGCCGCAGCTGCGGCCTCCCTTGCTGCTGTCCAGTTAGGACACGTGGCAGACGGCCACCTGCTGCCAGGCAGGAGAGCCTTGCCCTGGTGCATGGTGAGGACGGCTTCCGTCCTCTCACCTCACCATCTCTTCTTCCTCCTTGCTCCCCCACTCCTCAGAATTCCAGAATAGGGAGAGAGCGAGAGACCTTGCTGCCTCACTGCCCAGATGGCCAAAGATGAGCCAGACTCTTCACTGGGTCTTCCACACGGGGCAGGGGCCTTCCTCCACTGCTCTCCCAGGCCATTGGCATGCAAGTGGATTGGGCATGACCCAGGGCCCACACGGGATGCCAGCTTCTCAGGCAGTGGCTTTCCCCTCCAGGCACAAGGCTGGCCCCGGGAGAGGAGCCCTAGGGTGTTGTGCTGTTGCAGCCCAGACTGAGGCAGGAAGAGATGGAACAGGGAGCCCCGTGAGAGCCACAAGACGTGGGCTGCTGAGCCTGGGTGGCCAGCAGGGAACTCATGGCGGAGGCGATGCTAAGCAGGGTGGGAGGCGGACTGCGTGCAGATGCAGAGAGCCTCATGCCAGAGGCTGGGGAATGAGGGTAGCTGAGGGCTGTGGCCAGCAAACAGCCCTGGGGAGACTGAACCATGGGGCACAGGCTGGAGTATACTAAGTAGGCACAAAGTATCCTGGCCATCCTCTTGCTGCCTCAGCTCCACCAGACAACTGGTAACAATGACAGTTAACCATGTCCCGGCCCTGGCCACTCTGGTGCATGCTCAGCGCTGGGCCTTCCCTAGGAGTTGTCAGCACATTCCCAATCAACAGTGGTCATGCTGGAGACTCAAACCCCCAAAGCCTCAGCGTCATTCCAGCTGGGGTCAGTGACCGTAGAGCCCGCAGCAAGACTCAGGGGAGCCCGACTCCAAACTCCACCCTGTGATTGCAGGAGCTTGAAAATGTGTTACACTTTCCAGGATACAGTCAGAAATGTACACTTCCAGAGAAACAAAATGGCCCTTACTGGATGAATACAGATGCCCTAATCCTTGTTCCTCCTCTTACTCTGGTGGCAGGAAGGGCACAGCCATCGCAGGTAGTACCACCGTGCCAGGCACACACCACCTTGCTGGGACCGGACATGCGGCATTTCCTGACCCACAGCCAGGAGGAGGCAGCCCTGTTGGTGCAGAACCCCCGTGGCGTCTGAGCAGCCCCAGGACCTGGAGGGGCCCCGGGGCCATGATGTGTGGACGAGCCTGGCCCCCGTGCAGAAGCGGTGGTGAGAGCTGCTCCCTGTGCCTTCCTGAGGGAGGCCTGGGTCACATGGGAGACTGACAAGTAGCCACTGGTACTCTAGTTTCAGAAACGGTATAGCTTGCTTTTTTCCTACCAGATTCAGTTCCTCATTTGGGAGCTAGACTGACTGAGACTTTCTAGTTGCCGGTTCACGTCCCAGATGGTTGCAATGCCCAGAACCAGGCAGAACCAGGGACCCAGAACTCCACCCACGCCTTCCACGTGGGTGGGCAGCAGGGGCTCAAGCACTTGGCCATCTTCCACTGCCCTCCCAGGTGCTAGCAGGAGGCTGTGTCAAAAGTGGAGCTGCCACAACTAGAGCTGGTGCTCGCATGTGGGATGCTGGCATTACAGGTGTCGCCATGTTCCTTGAAGGAAGCATCCTCTAGGTGACAAGGTCTGGGCAAACCACCCAAGCCGCAGTGAAAGCCATGGGGTGGCAGGCAGGCAGGCGGACGAGAGCATGTGTCCTTGTTTGATTCAAAATACAAATGAGTAATTCGTTTTCCCCCACAATGAAAGGAACAGAGAAGAGGAAGTCACTGTCAGGGGAGCTGCAAAGCACGATGACCCCAGTTCCCACTCGGAGTGTAAGGCCCAGGCTCCAGTTCTGACTTGCTACTGTTCATCAGAATTCTACTCTGTGACTCCTAAGAAAGTACCTCATCCCAGAATTCCCACCACTATTTATGTCCTCTGTCTTGTGCTTGATTCTTAATCCTGTTTTCACACACTCGCCTAAACAGCCTGCAGCTGGCTCTGGATTGGTTCTGCAGGATACCCTTCTGCCCCCCCACTGGGGCTGCCAGCCTGCCTGCCTGCCGGGGTTTAGGTCCCCGTCTCGCCTTACTTTCCCTAAGGTTTCTGGTGCTGCCCCAAGGGGGTGGTTACCCATGGTCACTGAGACCCCGGGGCCAGTGGCCATTTCTCACGGGGAGTCCGGGCCCAGTGACCTCTCAGTGCTACAGTCCTTGGGGTGTCCCGAGGCCACCTGCTCACCCATCCAGCAGTTCCCCTCAGGGGTCCTCACTGAGACCTGCAGATCCAGGAGAGGGGCTTGTCGGCGTCTGAGAGTGTCGGCCTCACGTGGGGTGGGCTGAATTGGGAACTGCCCCTTGAGGACATCTGGCCTCCCCGACTCACCCCAGGCTGGGTCTGAACTGCTGACCTGTGCCGTGGCTCTCGGAGCCTCCATGGGCAGGGCACGAGCAGCTCAGGTGCCCCTTGGTCCAGCTGGAGGACGGAGGGCTCCAGGGACCAAGAGGGAAGGAAGGGCCACTTCCCCTCACTTGGTAAAATGTGAAAGTTTCTCCCTCCGCCAGTTTCAGCTTCCTCTTGTTAAGCTGCTCCACCTCAACATGCAGAGGTGTGCGAGCCTGGAGCTGCTGCGTGCTGAGTCCTGCGGGGTTAACTGCTCCCGTCCACGGGGACGCCCCAAGCAGCTGCGTCTGCACTCCAGTGCTTCTGCCAAACGTTCTCCAGGACTCCAGCATGACAACACACTGGTACAGTATAACTGTATGGAAATCACTTACCTACTTCCTATTTGGGTTCAAAAAATGCTTGAATGTTTTCATAATTCAAAACTGCATTTAAAAAACATCTTGTAAAAGTCAGCTCCTCTTTTAAAAAAGATTGCCTCAATCTGCTTATTCTATAAAAACTCTGAACACAGGTTTTCCTGTGCAGCTGCGTCAGGTAACAAGTTACATCGCAGAGTTCAGGTTAGGTCTGCTCAGCGTCACGGCCTTCCCACCGACCCAGCCCTCCGCCTCCGCCACTCCTCCCGCCCTTCTGCCCTGTCACCTTCCTCCATGACTCCCCGCCTTTAACACGGAGCTGGCTCTCCGTCTGTTCCCTCCTCCTCCTCCTCCCGAGGGAAAGGAGCCAGACAGGTCAGGGCATCCAGCTGCCAACACTATGGTCAACCTCCAAGATCACGTGCCCGGGGGCGGGGTGCCTCATCCCTGATGCCCTGACATCGGTCACCCACCCCCGTCCACCTGCCCCACCGTCTCACCTGTCACGCACCCCCGTCCACCTGCCCCACCGTCTCACCTGTCTCCCACCCCTGTCCACCTGCCCCACCGTCTCACCTGTCACCCACCCCTGTCCACCTGCCCCACCGTCTCTCACCTGTCATCCACCCCTACCCTGTCCCCCTGTCCACATGCTGTGACCATGAGTAATCCCACAAGACGTGGGCCTCATCAGAGTCCTTCCTCCCTCGCCATCAGCTCACGGGAGACCTCTTCACCTCCCACGCCCTGCACACTGACCTCAAGGGCCCCTCTGGCAGCAGAGTGTCTTTCTCTCCTGCTCCCTCTGCCACCTTCTCCGAACATCCCTGACTGGCCCCACGCTTGTTTCTTCTCCCTCACAGGACCTCGTGTCCCGCAGTCCCACTGTCACTTCAGTCTCTGCTCCTGGTCCAGCTGTCGTCTCCCCTCCTCAAGGACAGGGGCTCTTTGCCCTCCGACCTGTGGGGGGCGCTCTGAACCCTCACTCTTGCTGACCTGCACTCCTTCCCTTCTGACTTCCTGCTGATGGGGGACTCTTCTCCCGGCCCACACTCCCTAGCACGGAGCCTCAGTGTGTCCCGGGCTCCCAGACTCCTCCCCAGTCAGTGGTTCCTAGCTTTCTATAATTTCAAACCTGGCTTAGCCTGCGCTCTGCTCTCTCCTCATTGTCCCGTTTCCTCTTGTCTCTTCTGTTGTGTCTCCATTCCTCGCTCTGTCCCACATTCTCACCTCTCTTTCTTCTCTGTCATTCTCTAGTCCATGCCTCTATTCTCCTGTTGTCTCCCACTCCTCCCATCTCTCCTCTCTCCTGTTGCCTTCTCTCTCCTCTCTTCCCCATCTCTGCTCCTGTTTCTAACCTTGCTCTCCTTCCCTCTCTCCACTTTCCCCTGGTCTTTCTTGCCTCTTCTCTCTAGGTCTCACCTCTTCTCTCATCCCAATGGCTTCTGATACTCATCTTCAACCACACAGCCATCCCACTCACCATCCCTTGGGTCTTGATGAACCTGTCTCACTTACTGTCCCACTTTGGGATAGCTAAGCAGGTGTTGTCACAAAGTCCTTAACTTTTCTAGTACACACCCAGAGCACATTCCCTGTTAGCACTCCTCCATCAGCAGCCTCCTCCTGAGTGAACAGCAGTTTCTGGGTGTGATGCCCCACTGTGCCACAGTCCTACAGCAGCAGCTGTTCCCTGGAGGTGGTGAGACTGGCCACCTCTGGGCTGCCCTGGGAAGGCCCAGGCCCTCGCACAGCAGTTCACAGCTGACTTCGCAGGCCTCCCAGTGATGGCCGGACTCACCAACCAGAGTCCTCCCCCGATGGCTAAGACCTGCAGATATGCGCAGGGCAGCTCCACATTGACCCCCAAGACTGACATGCCAACCAACGAGTCGGGGTGCTGCTCAGCAATGAGTCGCTGCAGGAAGGCCCTCGGGGAGCCATGGGGCAGGTCCTTCTTGGGGTGCTCCCCGCCACACCCTCACGGGCTCCTCAGCCTCTTGCCTTGTCAGCCCTGTGTGTATATATAGTTTGTTCCGCAAGCTTCCAACAGGATAGTTTTTCTTACCTGAGCCAGCACCCAGGGGCAGTGAAAACCCTGTTCGTCCAGGCCACTCGAAACCCTTCCTGTCAACACCTGCCTAGCAGGAAGCAGCCCGAGAGCCCCCGGCACTCCTGGACTGTTGGGCTCCCCCAAGAACTAAGCAGGAGAGCACCCCTGCTTCCTGAATGAGAACTGGTCCCACAGGAAGGAACCCTGCCACCCTCCTGTTTCTCAGCTGCAGACAGCCCTCCGGCAGCTGCATGTGCCCCCACAGGCCCAGGCACCTCTCCTCACACCATTCCTGAGTCAGGGTTGAATCTGTGAAGGAAGAAAGGTTTTTTAACCCAAGCAAACTAAAGCTGAACACCTTTGGAATGAGTAGGGCCACCTTACCCTGGTCACTGAGCTGGTGCAAGTGGCAGGTCAAGAGCTCTAGGCCTGAGCCACGGGCACCCCAGGGGTGCTTACCACTGGGTTTCATTCTTCAGGGGAGCTAACAGGAAGTCCCCGAGCTACACAGGGCAGCCGGCCATGCCTGACCACTGGAATGGCTCTGTGCAATAGCACATACTGGGACAGTGGCCACGTTCCTGTGCATGTATTCAGGATGGTGACAGGAGCCTCCTGTGGCTGTCGGTCAAATGGAATGCAGCTGGGGAGGCTGCTGGCACAGATCTGGGTCTTAAGCTGCCGACAGCAACTTCTGGCAAGGACTGTCCGTGCTTCCGCTCCACCTCTGGTTCTAGCATCCTGCCCCACCTGCTGTGCGCTTAGGGTCGAGAGATGGAGAGCAGAGGCAAAGTCCTGCTCCCCAAGCATCCTTCACCCTCCAACACAGCAGCTACTGGTACTGAACAACTATTTAGAACATAAATGCAACAAAAGTGAATATACAGGATAAATTTGGCAAGACTGATCATGCTCTCCCAGCTCAGACTTCAGGAGGGAAAAGGAACAGTAGATCTGGGAGCTCCCAGAGTCTCCTCCTCCCACGTCACTGACACATTAGTAGCTTTAAAGCTGCAGCAGCCTGGCGAGGCCCTGCGTGACAGGCTCATTTCCACCCTCCCCCAGGGACCACCAAGTGCTGCTCCAGGGTGGTGGTTCTGGTGCCTGTGGGTATGCTGGTCGGCCCTGCTCAGAACTACAGCCCCACAGTCAGAGCAGCTAAGAGGACTCACCATCCCAGGGACCCAGTGTCAGCAGGTAGGTCCCTGCTGCTCATCAGAGCCTGAAGGCAGTGGGGAACCGGCAGTGGGGCCTGCAGGGTTGCTGACACTTTGAGAGGTTCACTCAGAAAGCTTGGCTCAACTGTCAAACTTCACTGACTGAAGGAGTTAGAAATTTGGGTTTGAAATAACAAAGCTATCTTGAAGCTACTTAAGACATTTTATGCTGCTTTGTCTGTAAATGGGGCAGAGACTGAATTAAGCCGTACCACTGGAACAAGCATTACATACTGCAGCCGGCACTGGAGGAGGAGGTCCCAGGGACGGGTGTGAGCTCACGGCCACCGTCCCTGGGCCCCGCGCCAACTCTGCGATCAGAGTAGTTCCCTTGCCCCGGGCCTCTGTCCTCTGCCAAAATCATCTGTTTTCCCCTTACTGCAGTAGAAGACACAAAGCTCTAAACAAGAATCTTTATAATGATTTTTCTCCATGTGTAGAAATAAAATATGGCAAATAACAGATCTTAAGTTTTTCAACTCAATATAACTGACTACGACAAACCAAGAAATATGCCCATTTTTGCCATATCGATTTCCACTTTGGAAAATATGATGTAACTGCTTTGTTAATGTATTTTGCAGACCTCATTAAATAACTAGATACAAATCAATAAGACAATATCGCCTTGTACCACGAGAGAGGGGACCTCAGGGTGGTGGTGTTCCCATGAGAGAGGGACCTCAGGGTGGTGCTGTTCCCATGAGAGAGGGGACCTCAGGGTGGTGGTGTTCCCATGAGAGAGGGACCTCAGGGTGGTGGTGTTCCCATGAGAGAGGGACCTCAGGGTGGTGCTGTTCCCATGAGAGAGGGACCTCAGGGTGGTGGTGTTCCCATGAGAGAGGGACCTCAGGGTGCTGGTGTTCCCATGAGAGAGGGACCTCAGGGTGGTGCTGTTCCCATGAGAGAGGGACCTCAGGGTGCTGTTCCCATGAGAGAGGGACCTCAGGGTGGTGCTGTTCCCATGAGAGAGGGGACCTCAGGGTGGTGCTGTTCCCATGAGAGAGGGGACCTCAGGGTGGTGCTGTTCCCATGAGAGAGGGACCTCAGGGTGCTGTTCCCATGAGAGAGGGACCTCAGGGTGGTGGTGCCTTTCCCTACCAGCGCCTGTGAGACACACCAGGTCCGTTTTGACGACACAAAGAACAGATGGCTCTGGTTCCAGCCGGGCCCTCTGCTTCTCTGGGATACATCCCCAGGAAGGCAGGTGGGACCGACAGCCGAGCGTGAGCACCATGAGTGACAGCAGTGCCCACGCTGCCCGCCTCTGCCTGGTCCTACCTTGCACTGGCAGAGCGTGCACTCGGTGCCATGCTTGATCCACGATGAGCCCGTGAAGCGCACCACGCTCATCTCGTCCAGGCAAGTCTTGGTGATGTCGTTGCGGATGGTGTCGGCCTGGCAGGGGTCGCTGACACAGCGTGGGCAGCACTCGCCCTCTGGGAGAACACTGAACTCACACTCCACGTCCGGGCAGGCCAGCGGCCAGCAGTCCACCTCCCCTCGCTGCAAGGAAAGTGCATGTGCCAGGGCAGGAGTCCAGTGCCCACGGCCCTAGGCTCCCCGGGTGCACAGCGGGATCCACAGAGGCCAGGGATCCACAGACAAGCAGGCACAGGTCCCATGTGTGTGGCCTCCCCAGGATAAAGGCCAGCCCTACATCACTGCCTTTGGCATCCCATTTTCACTCTCTGACTCATCTGTTCCTGCCTGAATACCGAAGTGCAGCCCATTTACAAGAGAGTAAGCCAAAGTACAAAGGGAGTCTGACTGCTCACGTGTGTTCCTCAGGGTCAAACCCCAGGGCCTCGGTGCAGTCCGCTCCACGCCTCATGGGACAATGTGTGAGTTGGACCTTTGTCACTGTGGCTCCCAGCCGTCTCCCATTTTCCTCCCAATTCTGACTCCAGATGAAAGCAGCCTTCAGACAAAATGACCCTGCTCTTTCAATTGATTTTTGGTTGAAAGTTAAAAAAAAAAAAATCAAAAACAATGCGGCCCTGAAAATATGCTCACAGAGACAGGCAGGGTCCAGCCTGGAGGGGAGGCGAGGACGCCCGGCTTGCTCCTGGCTGTGGACACCTGTTCTGCCCTCTTGCAAGTGAAACAGCCAGCAGCCGGCAAAGGGGCTGACATTCGGCCTGCTGCCCTGTACCCAGCATCAGTTTGAAAGCAGGTGTGGAAGCCCAGTTTAGGAATGTACGTATTGCATGTCCATAGCAGGTGCCAGACACAATGCCTGCACAACAGTGTGGCTGGAAGGAAAACACCAGTGGGTGTGTCCTCTGGTTCCACACCTGAGCATGAGTGCCGGGCATGCACACGCCATGCGCTGGCCAGAGTTCTCCCTCAAGAGGAGCGAGCTTCCTGCCTGCCTGGCCGCTCTCCGGGTCTGTGCCGCAGGAACATGTGCTGCCCCGTCCTCCCGCCAGCCACGCCTCTCAGCCGACTCACCAAGCAGCGACACTGCTGGCACCGCTGCACCCAGGTGTCACCGCTGTTGTACACGGTCTGCCCGTCCTGGTGGAGGCACTGACTACTCAGCCTGGGGTCACACTCGGGGCAGCAGAACAGATCAACGGTGGGGTTCTCGCAGTCACAGACCATGCGGCGGCACATGACGAGGCCACTCTGGGAGAAGGACCAAGACAGTTCTCCTGACCCCCATCGCTCAGGGCCCGCGCAGGGTGCAGGGCAATCCAAGGCAGGTGGACTTGAGTGGGCCTCTGCAGGGCCCCTGTGTGTGCTGTGTACGTGTGTGTGCACACCAGGAGAGTGTGCAAGCTGAAATAGGTCAGACTGCACAACACAATCAGCTGACACAGAGAAACTGCACACGCCAGCAGGCTTGGGTTCCCTTCCTACACACTGCTTCTCCGTGACCTCACTACAAACAGGAAATGAGGAGTTTAAAATGGGAGATGTGTGCTACTCCTGTGGACACAAACGTGTGCACGCAACACCTGCATCTATCCGTTAGCATTGTAATTCAAATCCAAATTTTGGTGTGAAGCTGTGGGTATTGGGCAGTTGGATAGGAAGTTTTTATTCAAACTGTTAGATTTCTGAAAGATTTAGACTTCATATTATTATTTAAAATGTTGTCAATTTCCTTCCTAACTGTTGAGTCCTTGGTACATACTCTCATTCAGTTGGCTGATTCAAGTCTCTCCCAGCAACTGAACACACAGAACAAAGCGCCTGAGCCTGCAGGCCAACCCGGACTCTGCACATTCACACAGGGCGAGGGACTCGGTTAGAAATGAAGTGCTACCTGCAGAGACGGGTGAGCCCAGCACGGGAACCTCCGGCGGGGGCTGGGTCAAATAAGTAGAAAGTCACAGCATAAATGGACCTCCCGTCGGTGCTGAGGAGGGAGGCACACGGAGTGCCTGCTGGGCTCCCACCCACTGGACACTCTGGCAGGCAGAACCCGCACCTGAGGGGCAGCCGGCAGCGCATGGGCGCGCAGGGACAGGACTGCCTCGGGAAAGACACAGGATCACCGGAATGTTCTAGGGCATGAACTGTGGGCACGTACAGCCAACCCCAAGCCGTTACCCACGCCCCTCACCTGGCACGAGCACACGGAGCAGCGGTCGCTCTCCAGCACCCAGATCTGACCACTGTGCTTCACCTTGCCGTCGTGCTCGCAGTCCCCTGTGCAGTTCTTGCCGTGAGGACAGCGGCAGTCGTACCCGCCGTCCAAGTTGAAGCAGATGGTGTCGTTGGCGCAGCTGTGCCTCCCGGTGCCACACTCGTCGATATCTGCACCGGGGGAGAGCGGCAGCAGCGCACTCGGGGGGCCGTCCGACCCCCGGCGTGTGTGCGACCTACTCCCAACTGTCAGAGTATCACTGTACACATGGCAGGGGGCAGATTTCTGCAACTGTTTCACTTGACTTTCAGAAATAAAAGTGCTACCCCCAGGGGTAGTGCTGCCTTCTTAAAGGAAAGAGAATTCTTGAGTTTGCTGCACAAGAAGTAAATGTTCAGTGCCAATAAAAATATGTACACTTAAATAAAGAATATTTATATAACAAAGTAATATCTGCCCACAACAGTGGTTGGCAGGTGCTCATCTTGTCTGTTACTTTAGGGAAATACAAAAACCAACAACACTGAGATTGGAATTTGACCCATTTGGCTTCCACAAGAAAAGGGCCTGAGTAGATGAAGTTTAGAACCAGGAGGCTACCGAAGCCCAGCCAGTCAGTCCCCAGTGAGAACAGCCGCCTGGGATGCGCTCGCAGCAGAGCTGAAGTGCCACTCGGGCCACCCTTGAGAGTGTGTAACTCTCAGGCCACAGAAAAGGAAGCAGCCCCAGACCACGCCGACGCTGGGGCCCTGGGCGCACGCGATCCTCAGCACGGCACTGTCCTGGCAGGTGCGGGAGGCAGAGCCACCAGCTTGTGACTGCAGAAGTGAGGATCCGCAATGCTATTGGGGTTTCTGGCTTGCAAATCCAGAGTTGGTGGATGCTGTTTACAGAGAAGAGGAAGGTGTTTTGCTCACTGGAGGAGGGGGAGCAGGGATGCGTTTCCAGTTGGCCGCCCCCATAGGGCCAGCTATCCACTAAGACACTGGACTGGGCGCTGGGAAAGCACACAGGGCTCCACGGTTGGACTCCGTGGTGAGACTGGTAAGCACCCACTGCACTCGAACCTGCCCTCTCTTGCCAGTCATCTCATCCACTTTGCACATCGCTAATACGAGCGCAAGGCACCTGGACGTCCTCTCCGGTGTTGAGGAGGAAGGCCTGCTCACAGGAACATGCCGTTTTCTCCTCGCACGCCAGCTGACCCCGCGCCCTGTCCCGGCACCACTGCACACACACGCGCTGCGGGCGGGGCCCCCAGGTTGGCTGCATTGGCAGGAACTGAGCTGGCCACCCCCCATTGCTGGCGTACCTTCAGAGACCAGTAGCTGAGTTCAACTGGACTCACCTCACTTGTATTTTTTTCCCCTAGATTTAAGTGCAGAACTCACTCAATGGATTATATGTGACACCATCTTGTAAACGCTACTTTTGTGGTGTCACAAGATGTCACCAAGCTTAATGGTAATGATCCAGAAGTAATAAAGCCACCTGGGGACACTGTGTGTGAGATAGCAGCACCAGGCTGCACCCCCGGCAGTGGAGACACAGCGTGAACAGGGACAAGGCACTCCGGCACACGTCCTGGGGAGGACTGTCACCGGCTGAGATGGGACTGCGACTGGGGCCCCTGCAGGCAGCGACTCCACACACCACCCGGGGAAGTGCAGGGTCCAGGCGCCCTTGTGGCCGAGCACTGCACTGAAAGGGCACAGCTGAAGCTCTGGCCACCTTCAGATGCTTTCCTGCTTGCTCCAAGCTACAGAAGAACGGCACCTTCTCAGTCTAACCACGCTTGAAAAAACTCCTCCTGAACGCTAACATTGCAATTGTACAAATCACTGATATTGGAGTACATGGGTAGTTATTCAAACACATTTTAGCCTTTTAAAAAAATTATGTAGGTGGGTTCTGTGGAAAGGACCCTTCAGAGTGTACTGGCTCTGACACAATAGATTTTTCTGATAATCTTTATAAATTCCACTAGTAGATAACAATAGAATCATCTTCCCAAATAGCAGCTTTCTAAAAATAAGGTTTTCTACTGCCCATATGTCTGGAATTTCCTTGAAAAGTATTTTTCTTTAGAGATCTCACAGAATACCTTACTTCACCCTCTTCTGTCAATTTAACATTTAATTGTTCTTGTTACTTTCTGGATTTAACACTTATGCATGTACTAATTGCATTTCACCTTGATCATGATGAATATCTACTTCTAACATAGGATTCTACTGCACGTACCTCATAAATACTGTCAACGTAGATGCCTTGTACACTTCTGATTCTAAGATCCATCTACCCCCACTCACCTCATCCCCCGCCTACCCCCCACTCACCTCATCCCTCTGCCTACCCCCCCACTCACCTCATCCCCCGCCTACCCCCCACTCACCTCATCCCCCGCCTACCCCCCACTCACCTCATCCCTCTGCCTACCCCTCCCCACTCACCTCATCCCCCTGCCTACCCCCCACTCACCTCATCCCTCTGCCTACCCCTCCCCACTCACCTCATCCCCCCGCCTACCCCCCACTCACCTCATCCCTCTGCCTACCCCCCCACTCACCTCATCCCCCTGCCTACCCCCCACTCACCTCATCCCTCTGCCTACCCCTCCCCACTCACCTCATCCCCCCGCCTACCCCCCACTCACCTCATCCCCCTGCCTACCCCTCCCCACTCACCTCATCCCCCTGCCTGCCCCTCCCCACTCACCTCATCCCCCTGGTCTACCCCCCACTCACCTCATCCCCCTGCCTACCCCCACTCACCTCATCCCCCGCCTACCCCCCCACTCACCTCATCCCCCCGCCTACCCCCCACTCACCTCATCCCCCCGCCTACCCCCTACTCACCTCATCCCTCTGCCTACCCCCCACTCACCTCATCCCCCCGCCTACCCCCACTCACCTCATCCCCCTGCCTACCCCTCCCCACTCACCTCATCCCCCTGCCTACCCCCACTCACCTCATCCCCCTGCCTACCCCCTACTCACCTCATCCCCCTGCCTACCCCCACTCACCTCATCCCCCTGCCTATCAGCCACACACTCTTTGTCATTAAACAAATTTATCAGCTACTGTGTCTTCTAGCTGATGGAGATATTGTGGCTGATAATCAAAGATCTGTGACCCTTGAAATCTACAGTATGGAGAAGATACTTAGCAAGCAAATGCAATATAGCAAATGCTGTATTTTATGACAATGTAGAATTCCTACAAGGAAAAGGAGAGAGGACAGGGAACTCAGTGTGCGAGGCAGGAGGACACCTCTACCTGGGAGCCTAGAGTAGCCCTTTTAGTGGAAATCTGAGATCAACAAAGGAAGACCTACAGGAAGGACATTCCATACAAGGAACAGCGCGGCAAAGACGTCTGTCTGGCCCTGGAAATGCTGGCCAGGGCTTGCGATTTTCTGAGCGCTGGAAAGGCTCTGGGCTGTTGGGGAGGAGTCACGTGCCCACTTCCATTTAGGAGCACTTCTGGGCACTACAGGGTCCACAGGAGGCGGCGGCTGGACTGGATTACTTCCATGGCCCAGGCAAAAAAGCAACAACTCAGATGGAGGTGGTGACCCCAACGGGGCAGAGTGGAGTGTGTTCTAAAGCTAAAACTGTGACACTTGGCGACAGGACACCTGACACCCACATGGGCAGCCCGTTAGGAGCACGGGGATTCGGGGATGAGTCAGGGGCTTGAGTACTGGGGCAGAGACGAGGGTGGACAGAATGCAGGCCCCTGGGAGCTAAATGTGCAGCTGCAAGAGGGACTGGGATTAGGGGTACCTGAATCTTGAAACTGGCTGAGTTAGAAATGGGAAAGAGGAGGCCTATGGCCCAGGCACACCCGGGGAGGCAGCAGTCGCAGGGCCAAGTGCAGAGATGGAACGTGCTTCTGTCAAATGCCTCAGTGGTTAAGCCAGGGGACAGCAACTGACCAGAGGGTGTGGGAAGGTGGAGACTGTGAGCCGTTCAGAAAGGCGGGGGCTGGGTGCGGTGGTGGGGTAGAGCCTGACCGTGGGGGCAGGGACAGCACCCTCCCGGGGAGTGTCCACCAACTGCAGCAGCGACACAGCTGGTCAGAGGGTCAGGCAGTGTCCAGGGGATTGCCTCTCTTGTTCTGTTTTACTGATTGTGTCCTGGGGAAAGAATCCTCAATGAGCTGAACTGGAAGGCAGGCGTCTCAGTGGCAGAGTCCTCCCAGGAGGGAAAGGCAGTGAGCCATGTGGCACAGTGGAGGGTCTGAGCCTTAATAGATCCCCTTGCTTATGCATTTGAGAAGTAGGCAGGGAGAAAGAATGATGAGCACCTGCACTCAAGAGAGCTCCTGACCCCTGGCTCACTTCCAAGATGCCTGCCAGAGCCCTCGGTGGGGCTGAGGCAGGAAGCCATGACCTCCGTCCAGTCTCCCATGAGGGTTGCAAGGGACCCAAGCAGCTAAGCCAGCACCTGCTGCCTCCAGGGTCTGCCCAGCAGCAGGCTGCAACAGGACGTGGCAGACACAGGTTCAGACACAGGCCCTCCACCGTGGCATACAGACAGCCCAAATAGCATGCAACCTGACTTTGAAAGAAGGGTCTCCTCCAGTGAACTGAAGGAAAGGCAGCAGAGCAGGGCACGGGGCAAGCTGGCATAGCTCGAGGAGCAAATCAATCCTGCGTTTTCTGGCTAGAGGCCACTGACAACACAACATGGAGTGGTTGGTGCAACCCAGGGAGACAGAGGAAGCTGTAAAAGGCTGGGGAGCAGAACCCATGGGCACAGGCGGAAATGCTGGCCGTTGCGAGGGCCCAGGGTGAGAAGCTTTCAGGACGCCCCAGTGGTCCTCAGCACTTCCTAGTTACACCCCGTGAAACGTCCTCCTCTTGAATCTTAGCTGGAGCTATGTGCTCACACCTAGCAGTGACATAGTGTCATGCCCAACATTAGGCTTGAACAGGCCGCCTCCCACCTGAGGCTGTTCTCTGCTCAGATGCTTAGGAGCGACGGCCTGCTATGGCTACAGGAGTGGCTCTGGCCATACACTTCCCACTCCAACCCAGAAGACCAGGGCTATGGCCAACAGTTTCACTCCCACCTCAAGGGTTGCTTAGATGACAGGCAGCTGCCTCAGCACATTATCAGACCCGATAGGAACCCATGGGTTGTCCTCAGTGGCCCCAGCTGGGAGGCAATGTCCACACCTCCATCAACAGAGAACCCACACAGTCCATGTGAGGCCTGCAGCCACCAATGAGACCACCAATGTAATCCCAGTTACAAGTTCAATGTCAGCCATCAGCAGAGGTCACATCTCCTTTCTGTTCCTGCTCAGCAGCACAGGTGGTAGTATGCCAGAGCACCAGGCACAGGCTGCCCGGGGACGAGCAACAAGGACAGGACAGGGAGGGACAGCTGCAGACATGCCACACGCACAAGGACAGGACAGGGAGGGACAGCTGCAGACATGCCACACGCACAAGCACCTGCACATAGCTCATCTAGTGTCACAAGGTTCCATCCACAAATGAACTATTGTAATTCACAAGCAAAACGCAGACTTCAACATGTATCTAACCACTGTTGTGGAAACAGGTAAACCCCACACGTGTCCCAGAGAGGTCCCCCACGTGCATCTACCCCATCCATAGGCTTGTGCCTGAGGGTCCTGCAGCCCCGGGTCCTCTCCGTGCACTGACCTTCGCATGACTCCCCGCTCGCAGAGAACATCCCGTTGTCATGGTAGCCATCCCGGCACTCACAGTGGTACCATCCGGGCAGGTTGATGCAGCTGGCACGGCTGTCACACTGCACAAAGCCTTCCGAGCATTCGTCAATGTCTGGCAAAGCAAAGAGAAGGGAGCTTTTATACCGTCACTTCTCTCTCTGAGAAAGCAGGGCAGGCTGCAATTGGGCTGCTCTCATTGTTAACACCACCAAAACCTCGAACCTGAGAAGACATGAAATGGAGGAAGGTGCTCGGTTGTTAATAGCGGCTGTATGGAAAGGAGTGCTGTTTTAAGCTCCTCTGCTGCAGGGTGCCCTGCTGAGGCCACGGAGACGAGGCCATGGTCCCTGGGCTGCCCACCAAGTCCTCCAGCTCCTGACCCCTCATGTGAGGTGTGGCCCTTCCACTGTCTGCGCCAGCGGGGAGGGATGTGGTCTGGAAGGCAGCAGCTTGGAGGTGATTTCCAGGCTTCCCTCCGCGCCACTGCCCTCACTTCCAGAGGCTGCAAGGGCGAGGTAGGTTCCTGAGAGGACAGCACCCTGGAACGGATTGTGTAAATGAGCCAGAAATGCCACTCCAGGGCCTGGAGCTGTCTGGGCTCAGCAAAACCTGCTCCTGCTAACTAGAGCCGCACTGCATCCCCAGCAGGCAGTGGGCAGCGGTCAGTGGGCAGTGGACAGCAGCCAGTGGGCACCAGACAGTGGGCAGCGGGCAGCAGGAAGTGGGCAGCAGGCAGTGCACAGCGGGCAGTGGGCAGTGGGCAGCGGGCAGCAGGCAGCAGGCAGCAGAGGTGTGAGGACTACACAGCACGGCCACACAGCTCACTGCTGACGATGAGTTTATCTCACACAATTATTTTCGTACCTATTTCATTCATATTTACTGATTCACACACATGAATCCAACTCTCCAAATGTCATGTACTGGAATGTTTAACACAGGAAACCACCGAGGCACAGACAATGATGTGATTTGGCCAAAGTCCCCTGAACACTCCCAGCTGCCAGACTCTGGGCTGTGTGCTTCTTCAGACAAGCACAGCGAAGCCCAAACCGGCCAAGCTGCTCAGAGACCCCAGGGCCTGAGTCCCAGACGCTGTGGTGAGACGTTCACTCTCAGTCCCCACCTGAGTCTGCAGCATGGGGGCAGCCTGCACAGTCTGAGTCCCTTCCTTGCTCCTACAGGAAGGAGTAATCCCTGAGGCCGTACAAAGACTCTGTTCCTTTTATTCACCCTCTGATCTTCTGGTCCTGTGGGCCGATGGAGGCCTGATGAATGATCCAGGGTTCACACTGCTGAACCCGCTCCATGTGGCTTTTAATGAGCCCCTGCTGCACACCTCGTAGAGGGCTGGTGCCCCCGCGGGCCCTTGCGCAGAAGCCTCTCCTGTTGGCACACTCTCTCACAGGGCGTGGAGGGCCCTTGCTCAGGAGTCTCCCTGTTGGCACACTCTCACAGGGCGTGGAACGGGGGTGCCCTGAGGGCCTTTGCCCAGGAGTCTCCCCTGACTGGCACACTCTTCCTGTCTCAGCCTCATCTGAGTTTGTGGAAGCAGACCTTGCTCTCATTTTCTTTTCAAGTTTTCTCTTTCCTAATGTTCAGTTTGAAAGAGAAATATTCATGATCAACAGTTAAGTTTGAAAAGTCAAAAAGTAAGCCATCACTCATTTACTTCTTGATTAATGTAGAATTTCCTCACTACAGCAGTGTGCAAGCCATTGTTTTAGACAAGTAGGTAACAGGACAAAAAAAATATCATGGTAGTGCATGATGCCTGCCTCTGCGCTTTAGAGTTGCATACAGATGCTGTCACTCGCTGGGGACAAAAGCATACACCTGCCCAAATGTATGTTACAGGCAGTTATAGGGCCAGCTGTGTGGGCTAGAGCAGGTGCACTGCCTGGGGTTCCAGCTTCTCTTATGGGTGCCAGTTCATGGGTGCCACTCTGATCCAGCTCCCTACTAATGGATCGGAAAAGCAGCTGAAGAAAGCTCAAGTGCTTGGGCACTTGTCACTCATATGAGAGATCTGATCAAACTTCTGGCTTGGTTCAGCCAGGCCCTTGTGGTCAACTGGAAAGGCACCTATGGATGGAAGATCTCTCTTACAAATAAAAAACTAAAAAATAAATCTTCATACATTTAGAGCATTAATTTATTATTTAATTATTGCTATCAGGCAGTATTTTAGGGGATGAATATGAAAATATATACTCAATTTACTAGTTAATATTTGTTGAATACTCATTACATATCAAGAACCAAGTGCTGCAGGAACAAGGATATACAACAACATAAGCAATTTCTGCCATCACTAAACTTGCCATCTATTTAAGTTGTGCTTTAAGAAAACTAAATCTACAAAAATCTGAATTTGTAATCATACAGAGCAGCATGTCCTAACATGTAATGCACCTTCCAGCATTTAAGTATGGTATCTAAGTAATAATAGGTAAATACAGTACACTAGTGGGCTGATGTTGTGGTATAGTGGGCTAAGCTCCTGCCTGGAATGATGGTGCCACATGTGGCATTGGTTTGTGTTCTGGCTGTTCCACTTTCTATCCACCCCCTTCCTATGCACCTGGGAAGGCAGTGAAAGATGACCTAAGTGCTTGGGCCCCAGTCACCTGCAGGAGAGACCTAGAAGGAGCTCCTGGCTCCTGGCTTCAGCCTGGCCACGGCGGACATTCCTGTAGAGGTGGGCAGGGAGATGACGACCTGCACTCTTACTCTGCTGTCGGCCTACGGCCCTCCTGCCTGCTCCTTTCCACTTGTTTCTACTTTCCCACTTTACTGGGTTTGGAGCAAATGGAAGTATACCTGACTCGCCCAGTGCACACTTCCCATTGGTTCTAATCCAAGCCCTCGGCTCCAAGAGACAGACAGCATCCCCGCTGAGACGCCTCATGGCAGGCACACTCCACTCACTCAGTACTGTCTTTAGGGTACTTTCTTTAGGTTATTTTAAAACTAATTTCAGATTCCCAAACCAGCCACAGCTAGGGGGCACCCCTACCACTATTATTCCCATATTCCCATGCCAGCATCAGCTGGGGGTTGGCCAGCTCATTGTGGCCTGGGGAGATAGTGTTGGTGGGGGCATGCAGCGACCCTAGGGCTCAAGTCCAGGGAAGTAGGGCAAGCTTGGGATTTCCCTGGGTGCTTGGTTCTGGGTGGGGCAGGAGGTGGGGAAGGGTCTCTGAGGGCATCTGCTGTAGGTGAAGAATAACTTCTGAGAGACTCCCAATGACAAGACACTGTATTTGCATGTAAGAGGGAGGGCTGAGACCAGGTAGGTTGGAGGGGAGAGGCTGGAGGACCATTATGGGTCAGCCTCATGTATCAGCCTACAAGAATATTTTGGCTCACCCATGTGGAACTGCAATATTTGCTGGTTAGCTTAAGAGGTGGGGGTGTTGACAGGCTGAGAGCCAGTGGCACATGCCCAGCCACTTCCAGTCCACTGTTAAAATCCCCACTGTCTCTACTGAAACACCCATGAGCTTGATGCAGAGTTTCCTTCTGAAACAGAACATCACATCTACCTCGAAGACAACTGATGGGAACAAGTCCCTGAGCGCACAAGGAGAGCTCAGCAGCCCAAGGACTGCTTCCAGGACAAGGCTGCGAAGCGGGCTGCAGGGGCAGGGCTGCTCTTCAACAGACTCGAAACCCCACAGCGCTCCAACAGGCCGACACTGCCGACACTAGGTCACTTTTCAGACCTCTTCCACACTAATTATATTTTCTGTTCACTCTAACAGCCTGTTTCTTCCTGATCAATCAGATGTGTTGTACAACTTTATCATGAAGGCAAGCTCAAAATTCTGATCAAAGTGTTTCTAGGTCTCAGTGTTTGATCATCCACAGTCAGCCTAATTTGGCAGTTGGGAAATAGATCTTGAAAAGGAAAACACACAAAGACACACACACACACACACACACACACACACACACACACACACACCCCTTTAGTTCTCATTTCTGTGATTATCTCATGTAACAAAAAGCCGTGGGAAGGGCACAGTAAGTGGTTACTATCAGGTGTCTTCTGCGCAGGCCTTCCTCAGGCAGGGCCACTCCCGATGGTGGGCTCCAGGCTTGCACTGCCCTACTACAGCTTTGCCCCAGCTGGCTGCAAGCCCTGCCAGGGCCCGGACCTGGCATTCTGCATCACGGAGCCCCTCTGCTTCCAGGACCTCACTTGATGCATGGCAGACCTCAGTAACACGGGGCAATAAATACTGGGTGCTTTTAAATTCACACATGATGCTTTCAACGCAATGAAAAGGACATTAATGAAAGGAATCTGCTTAAGCAATATATTTCTTCAGAAGAAATAACTCGGCACTGGATTTAAGAACCTAAGTTTTGATTTTTCATATTCTGGCCCACAGTGACTAGCACAGAAGGCTCTCTGAACCTTCAAAAGCCAAGCTGAACATGCAGGGAGAAAGGCTGGACACTCTGGGAAGTCATGGAGAGAGAAGAAGCAAACAGCAGCTAGGGGTTTCCACCGCCCAGTTACTGTGAGCGGATCTTGAGAGAAGGATGAGTGAGTCCGGCCTCACCCTCTGCCCACAGCAGGCGGGGCCTCAGAAGAGGGAGCTCCTGAGCCTTGGACGCCCAGGTCCCCGAGCCGAAGCAGCCAAGTTCCCTCTCTGTAAATTACCCAGTCCCTGGCACTCCGTCACAGCAGTGGAAAGGGAAGTAAGATATTATCCTAGTCTAAGAACTGAAACACAAATTCCGTGGAAGGGCAGGCTATAAAATCAGCATACAGAATCAGTATTTCCATAGGCTAAGAATGAACTTTATGAGAAACAAATTAAGAAAATAACATCATTTATGATAATATATCATAAAATACTTTGATCAAGTAGGTGAAAGATCTACCCGTGGAGAACTGCACAGGATTGATGGAAGAAATCAGATTTGATGACTGTGTTCAACCCTTGGCCTGCGCTTTTCAAAGAAATACTGGTTTTCTTCCCTGAAACTTGTTGCATTCTTTATTTAGTGGAGGGATAAGTTTGTGATTATAAAATAAACTGAAAATATGTCATTGTGAAAATCGAAAGCTAACATAAGACAGGAAGAAGGGGGAAT